AGTGGTCACAGGACGCTGCCCACAGGACTGGATGTGTTTACAAACTCCAGCAGCACTGCTGCTGACCACGTCATGTATTACAGATGTCTGTCTGAAGGTACCTGTGCATAATAATGTTGGAAACCCTTGTGTCTAAAATGGAAAATTATAATGGTTATAATTGTGATATGACTTTTTCTTTCCCCAAGTAATTTTAGACCACTTTTATTGGGCCATTTATCATGAAATTTTGACACAATAGAAAACGGGTGACTGGACTTTGCAAATTATGCAAATCATGCCACAGAGAGTGGGCATTGGTGTATAAAATAAAGTGTGCAGACAATCAAGTTCATAAAATGGACACACATATCATAGTAATGCAGGATAATTAACCCCCATAGACCTATATTGAGATCACCCACATTCCCCCACACCCACCCCCATCATACTGAACAAACTGAGCAACTGATCGTGGTCTTATTTTACAGAAAAAGTCCTTTATATTGCACACCAACACATTTTCTAAGCTGCTTATCCTCCTGGGTCACAAGGGGTGCTTGAGTCTATCCCAGCAGTCACTGGGCAGAATGCAGGAAACACCTAGTGGCAATTTAGTATCTCCAGTTGGCCTGACTGCATGTCTTTGGACTGTGAGAGGAAACCCACACAGACACGGGGAGAACATGCAAACTCCACACAGGAAGGACCCTGGTTACCCGGTCGGGGAATCGAACCCAGACCCTGTGTGCTTTGATGCAAGTAAATTATGTTTAAGCAACGCAACAATCAGGGTACCTAAAACTACATTTCATGTCATGCTAACAGCGTCGCTATAAACCTATTCATGAAAGCTTTTGTAATATTGTATCTTTTTCATTTGGTTCAGTTACATGGTTTTGCACTGCAATGCCTAAAGTGGACCAAATTAACATGAGGTTGTTTGATTATTGTCCAGAATTTTTGAAGGGATGCCATCATTCTGTTACTGTTACATTTGCCATACATCCAACATATGCCAACATATTTTTTTATTATAATTTTAGTAGTATAGTTTTAGTATTATTTTACTGCTTGTCTACTGTTATTATCAGCAGCTTGTGCTGCAGAAATTTGAGTGAAGAGTAAAATGTTAAAGCAGTAAAATCTTACGGACAGTGCATCACTGAGAAAAGCACATTTTGGCTATGTTCACACAGCAGGTAAAAATCCAAATCCGATCTTTTTCTTCATATGTGACACAGATGTGTTCTCTGTCAGTGTAAACAGCAAAAAAACACTCCGAATCTGATAATATTTAATTCCAATTTGAGACACTTTCAAATGTGGTGCTGAAATCCGACCCATATCCGATCCGCAGCAATGTGACTCAGTCTGAACAGCCAGATCGGAATTCATGCGACTTTTATGTCAATCCAGCTCCACATTCATCATAATTTCATGCTGCTGAGACACATTTAGGTTGATGTTTCAGTACCAAAAAATTAGAAGGCACTTACTGCAACCGTTCCGTGCTTGAAGAGATTTCGAAAGAAATGACCGAACGCGGCTGTAGGAGAACGAGGCTGCAGCATCAAAGGAACGTTTAAAGAATCCAAGGACACGAACCAAAGAAAGTGGTCACGCCGTTTTTTACGGTGAGTTCAAACACTTTCTGGGTGATGAGCCCAGCTGACAACCACTGGAACTTGATGGCTCCTGTGATTCTGGCGAAGATGATGCTGATCCGTCCGAGAGCGACTGGCGTTCGTTCATCGTCATGATTGTTTACCTCTGGATGAGCCACGTGAAGCACTGTTCTTTTGTGCATGCGGGTCAGTTTAGGAGCTGATCTGTTCAGACTGATGTCGCATACAGATCACATTTAAAAGATAATGTGAACAGCCAAACAAAAAAATCAGATTTGGTGAGAAAGTCAGATTTCGGCCACTTTTACCTGCTGTGTAAACATAGCGGTTGATGTGGAATTCTCTCATTTGGTGTGGACATCATAAAAATGTATTCCCACCAGCAGTGAACTCAAATGGGGGCACTGGTATATGGTTGTTTGGTGCCAATCTGAATATGAGTTTTCTAAAGATAAGGTTTGGATAGATCCCCATCAAACAAGGTAGATGTGACAGCGACCTTAGTACAGCAAGGTGGTAGTAAAAAATATTAAAATTGACATTTAATAAGTTCAAACTGACCCATTGTATTAATTCACGTATCAGAGTAAAAACAGTTTTACGGAGTTAGTGAGCTGCAGCTCCTCGCACTGAGCAGCAACTCACGAAGGCTTTACTGTTTGGTAAATGTCCCACCTCCCAGCGGAAATGGAATTTGAGCTGAACTACTGCTTTAAATCTGAGGACTTCTGCACTTTCTAGATTCTGATGTCCAGATTGACTGACCACTGTGTCGTCAGAAGCACTCTCTGTATTGCTGAGACTTTTCTGTGGACTGAAAAAAGTGGCGGTTTGCTGTTCATTGATTGGGCGGTCGATGGGAAGTGGTGATGTGTTCATCGGTGTGTCCGAGTCAATAGCGGGGGTCCAGAGGGCTGACCGGTGCATCGATGCTGGCCTGCTCTTGGATGGTTCCCACGCACAGAGATGACCATCACTTTCAGAGGTTCAGGAGGAGAAAGGGGCAGCATGAAAAGCACAGAGCAAGAGCAGAGTGACCATCAGAAATCTGTCCACCCACCTGCTGAACTCCCCTTATTTAGAGAGTACACAAGAACAGCTTATGTAAACAGACAAATGTTTATCGCCAGCTCAGCACCGAACTCCACATTTGTTTACTGTGGAGAAATTCTAAAAAATCTATAAAAAGAAGAAAAAATGAAGAAAATCTAAACTCTGAATTGAAAAGAGGTAAACAGAATCTCTGCAGTGAACTAACATGTTAATGCAGTTAATCTATGTTTGATTAACATAAAAAAAAATACAAGAAATGAAAAAAAAACTGGCATGTGCAAAAGTTTGGACACGCTTCTACTTGTAAAGTCTGATAATGTAGCTCATTAGGCCTTAATGGACTCGTCTGGACTGGTTAGTCAGGTCAGGAATTGTCATTAGTAATTGTCCGCTGATGGCCATTCCAGAGGAAAAAAAATTCTCTATTTTTAAACCTTGTGCTAACACTCAACAACCACAGGCTCCTGTAGGCAGCTGAGGATCTGAAAATGAAAGCTAACTGGTGTCTACAAAGCATATAAAGGCTACAGAAAGATATGCAAAGCATGTCCAGCTTGCAGTTCCCACTGTCCAAAATGTCATAAAGAAATGGCAGTTAAGGGGAACTGTGGAAGTAAAGACAAGGTCTGACAGACCAAGAGAACTCTCCTACTAACTGCTCACATGCCAGAAAGGCAAAGCAAAACCCCCATATGACAGCGAAGGACCTGCATGAAGGTCTAGCTGACATACAAGTGGTGATGCACTATTCTGCTCTGCAGCTTTGCTTGCTCAAACATGATCTGCATGGAGGTGAAATCAGAAGAAACCTGACTTGTGAACTCATCACAAAAGTCAATATCTGAAGGATTCAAAACACATCTAGATCAACCAGGGGCCGTGCTAATTAGCTGATGAGCTGAATCAGGTGAGTTTAATGAGCCAGTGTGCTGAAGTCTGCAGTGTTTTGGCCTGTGAGGACTGGAGCCTGACACATGTGCTGATCTGCATAGCTAAATACCGACTCAATCAGTGACATGGAAACAGTGTTCCCCAGCACTCTGACAATTTCTCTCCAAATTGTTAACTGGAAGGGCCGTAGAGATCCCTCCTTTGCTCCATTCCTCATCTATTTAGAGAAGGAATCGCAGAGCAATGTGAAAGATAGAAATGGTGTGTCCGTCAAAAAATGGCACACCCCATCACGCTCGTCGCTGGTGTAGACAGCTTCTTTGATTATAATAGGAGAGTTTTGGTTTTGTCACTGATGCTCGCTTGTGGCGCTTGCTGTCAGGACGAGGTGCTAGACCCTCTCTGAAGGCTTAGAAGGCCCTGAGGGTTCCGCACTGAGGAGATACAAGGTGTTATGTTAACAAGGCACACACAGCATATCGTCGCTGTCCAAAGGAAAACAGGCGTCTCCAAATGGTAGTTTTACAGGAGATGGCACAAACATTCTTAACTGATAATGTAAGTTAATGTAAAAAGGTTTTATTCCAAGCAATTCTGGAGCATCTCTTTTGGTCCACGGATCATGAAACTTTTCCCATAAAGGTCACCAAGGGACAACGACTGAAACATTACCTACAAGACCTGCATAAGATGAGTCTTTGTCCTGAGCCACCGCATGGTGACCGATAATAGGAGGGCTAAAACGTTGTGGATGAGTTTGAGTCCTTTAACTGTGCAGCTCTATTTCCAGTGTACCTTTGAGGAAATCCATTAGTTTCATTGCATCCTGTTTCTAAAGGCAGACCTGCATCTCTTGCTCAAATTTCAATCTTCCGCCCGGTGCCTCTGCAGGATCGATGTCTTCAAAGACATTATCGATGTCTTGGAGGAGAAACTCACACTCTGTGAGCTTAATGCGGCCAGACTGGATCGCTACTGAGACAAACCAGGGCCAATATTCCATGTTTGTCTTTCTTTTTTATTTAAGAAGCTGGAGAACACTGCCTTTTTATGGGTGCTAACAATGTGGGAACAATGTCGCTTTTGATCGGCATGACATGTAGTACTGTGCAAGAGTCAGAGACCACCCTTCAATTATTCAATTTGCCACCAAAACAGCCACTAAATGTGAGTTATTCATTTTTAAAAGTCAGAAAAAAACTAACTTTTTTATGAAGACTCCTCCGTAGTAGCCTATTGGTCACACTAATGGCCAGTCCTAATGAGGCTGCACAGTGACGTTGCCAAAAAGGTCCCACTTCTTGCAAATGTAGCGCAAAACTTGTGAGGGAACTGCTGAGAGAAAATGGAGCCCATTGCATTGTTCTTATGTAGTATGACAAAATATATACAAATACTTATGATTAAAATATGAAATATGGACGAATGCTTTAATGCTTTAATTCATTCATACTTACTTAGCAGGGGACGACACCATGATCATGAAGGTGGTTCACCCAGGGTGAGGCTCAGCCATTGCACTTCGGTTGCGCTGACCCTTGCGAATTCCCCAAATGCAAGAATCTCGACTGCATAATTTCTGGTAGTAGGGGACTGCATTCGCACTCTCCCCTGACAGGGGCAGTCGTGCTGCTGGAGGTTAGGGAACCAGCCTTGTGACCGGAAGGTTTTTATGTAAAAACAGAAATGAGTAGCTAATATGTTGATAGCTAACCACAGTTATTAGCTAGAAGAACAAAACTGCCACTGAGACAGCATTAGCGGTTACTATCATTCCAAACATACTTGTTATGCAGATTAAGCATAACTCTCTGTTGTGACACGTTCCTCCTTTAACCATCATTACATTACACAGTTGCCCTGCTGTCAGTTCAGACCAGATAGGATAGCCTTTGTGCATTGATGTCATCATTGCAACGCAGACAACAATCTCACCTAGCTAGTAGCTAATGGAACAGCAAAGAGTGAGATTAAGGCCAACAACGATAATTTGGAAACTAATGGATTATTTGCATTTATAATCACTCCAGCTGGTTTCCTGATACGTTTAATCTGCAGCAAGAAACTGTCAAACACTAAAAAGTCAGTTGAAGTCAGTTTCTTGTTCGCCAGCTTCTTGTTCGAATTTTCCCGTGCCACCTTAAATGGTGCAGCGGTTACATTCTGGCATGTCAGGCACCATTTAAGGTGGAATGGGATTTCCAATGAGAAGCTGATTTCAACCTCGTAAAAATCGAACGTTGAGAGACATTTTATGAGAAACTGTTCTACTTTTGTGGAAATGTTTCCTGCTGGAGATGTGAGAAAAGTGGCTATAGCTGAAAAGCAGAGGAAAGTAAGTCTGCGTTCTTGTTTAGATTGTATTTTTTAGCCTGTACTAGTACATCAGCACATACTGAGACATATTTACAGCCAAGATGGTAAAATGGACATAAAATGCTGTGGCTCCCAAAGTGGTTAGATATTTGTTGAAGGGACAAAATGGCTCTTCTTAACATTTGGGTTGCGACCCCTGCATTTGCCCTGTTCCCATAGCCAACAAGTCACCTACAAGAACCAACTGTTCATTTACCGTCTACTATATCTCAGACATTGACGTGTGCCATTTTTACAGGATAATCACCGTTATTTGCTTCATCACTGATTGATCATATTGTTACCGGTCATCAATGTATACTATATGAAAATATGTCGGTTCTCTCATTAGGCGAGGGAGGCCAAATCAAGTTTTGGAGTTGCATTGACGTGGATGATGTTGTAGTGTGTATGAGAAGATTAGTTAGGCTTCGGTTTCATCAGCTATTTTCTGTGTATGTGTGAGCATTAGGTTGTGTAAGTAGGCGTAAATTATACAAACAAGCGAGCGAGCGTGATCACATGACCTCAGGCGTGCTCTCCGATTGGCTGGCGGCTCAGGGTTGCCGGGTTGTTTGCTTATTTCGTGGCAGCGGAAAGCTCCTGAGAGAGACGCTCGCCAAGTTTTCCGAAGAGCTCATCAATTCTGACCTGAGGGCTTCTTCAGGAGGAGAGCGAGAGAGAGAGACATCCTACATTTAACAGCCTCCCTAATACAGAGAAACTACTATATCTGCTAGGGAAGCACACAGAGTGCTGCACACTCGCAGCTCAATACGTCCTGACCTGCCAATGTAAGAGGGACAGTGAGTGACCCTATCACACACATGCATGCATGTACATGCACACAGTTGGGTTAGTTTAGACCATGCCTCTGTAAAACCTGCATGTATATATATATATATATATATATACATATATATATATATATATATATATAACTCTATAGTTTTAATTCTCTGATATGTTCAGCTGTCAAATAGTTGATTTTCCATTTAAAAGTGTTAAAACCTGTAACTTGTTGCTTTAGCAGTATAAATGTAGCACTATTTGTCAAGCCAGTAAAGCACCTTGAATTAAATTGAAATTGAACTGGAAATTAAATAGAGAGAAAGAGACTTTTACTTTGGTTTTGATGTCAACAGCATACAAAATTACATTTCACAATTGGACAAACCCCCACTTAGCCCCACCTACTCCGCCCACTAGCCATTCCCCCCAACTATCATAGTTCACACAAAAAAAAGACATCACATACACAAGTTCCCCATCTTCTACACAACATCAGCAACACACTACATATTTTGAAACGTTAACAAGTGATTCATCGAATTTTAATATGCAAATAAAACGTCAGCATCACATCAGGGTCTGTGAGGCCTTGTCCCCCCATTTTAATCCTCCTTGTAAGCCATACGGCCCATTCAGCTTGACCAAACACAAAGTTTAAAAGACAACATTTAGCCCAAAAAAGTGCATTTTGGCCCCAATATGAACAGACCAAAAGTGAGTCATGCCAAATTTGAAACAAAAGCTGTGTAAAGCACCAAATAAGATGTTTAGCCGTGAGCAATCCACAAACAGATGTTCAACAGTCTCGGGTTTGGAGCAGAAGGGACAGGCCACGTCCACTCCCTGAACAAAGTGTGCAGTGTGCTGATTTATGGTTATTGCCCCTTGTATTATACGCCAATGTAGGTCTCCTGACTGCTTAGGGACTGGGAGTTTGTACAGCACCTTCTATCTATCTATCTATCTATCTATCTATCTATCTATCTATCTATCTATCTATCTCAGGTTCCTCACCTTCACAGTGCCTTCCCTTCGGCTTTCTTGAATAGGCCCAGACTCAGAGACGAGGAGGTCAGCAGGGTGCCCCTATTCTCCTGCCAACCTCCATCAGAAGTGGTCACTCTTAATGAGGGAAACTCTGGAGCAGCATTTCTTTATGCCAGTTCTAGGAGCTCCTGCACCTGCTGGGACAGAGCTTGCTGCACTTCACTCAGGAGCTGTCCAAGCAGTCTTTGTGTGTTGATGACCATTTGCTGGGTCAAAAGCTGAGCTGCTTTCCAATGTGTGCCGTCTGGTGCTCGCAAACAGCCTGTTTTACAGATACCAGAAGTCAGGATACTCCTCATCAATGTGGTAGAGCGTACACTCTCAGAAACTAAGGTACTAAACTGTCACGGGGGCAGAACCCCTCTTGTCACTGTGGTGGAACCCTCAAGGGTAGACCTCAGTACCTTTAAACTGACAGAGAAGACGTGACGTAAACGTAACATGAACTCATGCTGCAGTTAAAAACCATCACGCCACTTTACCTGAAAATATGAACATAAATCATCTAGAAGATGAAGAATATTTAAATCCTTCATTACGTCAAGCATGTCGTTGTGGTTTCAGCGTCGCTCCTGAAAGTGTTTTGTTACGTTTTGCTGCTATGCTGCTTGCTTATTTCTGGTACTGCAGCCTGTTTTCGCACATGCTCAGACTGAGAAATCCGAAAGAAATCAGAGTAAGAGTTTACAGCACTGAGAAATCTGATTACTGAGCTAAAATCCAGCCTCTTTATCAGATTTCTAAATCGGATTTCTAGATCAGAGTGTGCTGTTTACATGACCATTTGAATAATCAGATAACTGCAGAAATCTGATTATGATCGGATTAATAATAGACTTTTTAGAGAGCGTTCTAATGAATAGAGGCACTGATGTCCTTAAACAGACTCTTGGTTCTATCTTTTTCTTCTCTGTCTCTCTTTTATCGTTCACTCTCACACTCTTTCCACTTTTATTGTTCTCTTTTCTCTCTCTCTCTTTCTGTTTATACTGTATGATTACAGTATATTCGGTGTATCAAGTGTGGAGCTCTAAACGCTCTTCTTTAGATTTCTCTCCTCACTCAGGTGTTCGAGTGTCGGTCTCAGGGTGGATGAATGGACGGTGTCGAGGTCGTCCTCTGGGAGGCTGAATAAGCGTGTGGTCAGTGTAATGTGCTATTGCTGGGTCATCTTTTTGAAAAGCAATAACGGTAACGTTATGTTTCCACACTCAGCTAAAATCACTGAGTGCTCACGCGAAAAAAGGTCTGGACCTGAGGGACGGAGAGAGGACCTGAAATAGAATGGGGGGGAGAGATACACACTCTCTCTGTCGACACAGCAAAAGTCCGAGACCCTTCCATTCATTTAATGTCCAGTCAAAACAGCCATTCAGGACAAGTTCTTCATTTTTCAAGCAGAAATATTTTGCCTTTATTCCATCTTCCATTCCATTCAGGAGCCTCACTTTCAGTTCCTCAAAGAATCTGCAGACACACCTCCAAAGTTCAGTCTTAGAAGCTGGTTGATCATTTTCTGAAGTAATCAAACACATTCAGTGGTGTTGAGGTCTGGACTCTGGGGTGGTCAGTCCACTGTTCAGCTTCTTTGTTTGATGTGTCCGTCTCCTTTTCTCAGTGAGGTTCTTCTTGATCAGCTACACATCCTTTCAGACCCACAGCGCTGAGTCGTCTTCTCACAGTGGAAGGATGGACAGAAACACCTGTGGATGTTTTCAGATCTGAAGCAGCTTGATTTTCTCCTCTCTCTCAGAGATGAAAGCTTTAAGTGCTGTTTATCTGATGGGGGCAGTTTTGGTGTCGACCAGGTCTTCCAGGTGGTTGTTAGGAGCCCCACTTTCTCTGTAGCATCTAATCATTTACACCAGTTTTGGAAACTCCTATTTTTTTTCTTTCTTTTTTTCTAACATTTTCTCTTATTCACCCTCTCTTTCTCTTTCACTTACCTTTCCTGTTTATTGAAGCTTCAATATTTCTCTTTTTCTCCTCTCTCTGTTTCATCTTTTTTCTTTCTTTCTCCTCCTTCTCTTCTCTGTCTCTCATTCTCCTTTTCTTGTTGTCTCTCCTAATCTTTCTTCTATTCTCACTGGCCCCTGTTCTCTCTCTCTTCCTCTCTTTGTATCTCTCTCTCTCTCTCTCTCTCTATCTCTCTATATATATATATATATATATATATATATATATATATAATATATATATATGGAATGTATATGATCTGTCCTCTGTTTTTTTCATTCTTGCTCTCTCTCTTCATTCTTGTTGTATTGAAAGGTCTGTTGCTCTCTCTCTCTTTCTGTGTTGCAGTGTTGAGAAGTAGAGCCCCCCCCCCTCCACCCCATGTTGTATTTAAGTCTCCATCTCTCATTGTGTTGTATTTTAAGGTCTCTCTCTCTCTCTCTCTCTCTCTCTCTGTGCTGTAT